GGTCCGGGCTGGGGATTCGAACCCGCCACCTTAGGTGTACGTGGCTGGCGCCTTAGCCGGTTGAGCTATAGGCGCCGAGCCAACATCCGGCTTTTTTAAGAGAGGGGATCTCACTCTTGCTCAGGCTGATCTTGAACTCCTGAGCTCAGGTAATTCACCCTCTTCAGACTCCCAGAGTGCTAGGATTACAGACATGAGCCATTGTGCCCGGTCATGCATTTCATTTTTCTGTTCTGTTTGGGAATCAGGTCTTAAGCAATCTAGGGGGTAACAGCTATAAGAGTTTAAAAAACATCAAACAGCCACACTACAGAGTAATTAATGAAGGAAAAACACCTTGTTAAGTTGTATATATGACTAATATTAATTATAAAAATAATAGTATCTATGTTAACAGGATTCGATGTTAATTCAGCACAAATGGGTATCAATTTGAGGGCTTGGGGAATATCAAGCCATTGAAATCAATGATAGTTAATGAGAATTTGCCCTAAGGACTTTTCAGGAACTAACTGCCTCCCTCAGAAGGGGAAGCTTAATGTTACATTTCATTGTGTTTGAGCCAAGCCGCATGCACACCCACCCTTCAAGACAGATGTGGTTAGTCATTTTTTGCAGATGTGGAAAGGGAGACACAGAGAGCGTGAGGTTCAATGGGCTGAGGCTAGGGTGTGCCTGAGTCTGTACTATTTCCCTAGTGCCTTGCCTCTTAGAGGACCCCAAAAATCCACGTGTGAAGGGTAAGAGACCTGGTGCAAAACCAAGGCTTGGAAGGAAGACACCAGCAGAACTCTTCCCAGGAGTTCTGGAGGCTCACTTAGAGAAAGTGAAATAAAGACTACTGGTATGAAGTGGTATAAAGATACTGGCAAGACTATGGTATATCCATACAATGCAAACTGTTTGGCAATAAAAAGCCAAGTTGTAATTGCTGTGTGCCACAACATGGAGGGACCTCAGACATGCATGCTCAGGGAGAGGCCAGACAGGAAGGTACACGTATCATGTGATTCCCTTTACATGAAATGTCCAGAATACCGATAATAAAAGAGAAACTGAGTCCAGCTCCAGGTAGGACCCAGTGACCTACTGTGTACTCACCAGTTAAACCGACAGCTGAAACAGGGCCCACGCGTTGGCCTCCATGGAAGCCATACAGGTTCATCTTGTACTTGTGGTCTGGCTCCAGGCCCGAGATGGTGACCCCGTCCTCATGCCCCGGCACCCGCACTGCCTTGGGCTGCCCATCCCCATTCTTGTATTGGATCAGGAAGTGGTCAAACTGGCCCTTGGGGACCATCCAGGAGAGGGTCAGGGAGTCAGGGGTCGCATCTGTCACTGTCATTTCCCCCAGGTGTGGCTTTGGAAGGAGGGAATCCGGAAGTTCCTTTTGGGGGGCTGCAAAGATATATAAACAGAATCTTGCCTATGGCTGGAAGAAGCTGTTGAGGCCCCCAGTTATGGGTGAGAAGGTGGATGGGTTCTGGCCCTAATTTAAGACCCACTTCTGACTATGATCCTTGATAATTTATTTT